GCTGACTCTGTAAACCGCTTCGAGAGGGCTGAAAGCCCTATGAAGCGGTATATAAGTCGAACTGCTATTGCTATAAAGATTTTTCCACATGACATTTCCCTAGGAATATAAGTGACGTGTGGGAAACCATGGATGGTACAGAATAATCTAAAGCAGGGGCCCCCACCTCCGGTCCATGAACCAGCACTGGTTCACGGTGTGCCAGCAACTTGGCTACGGGATACAGGTAGCAAGAAAAATCATGTCCTTCTGGTCCATGGAAAAACCTTTCTTTGTGGAATCACTCTCTGGTGGCCACATTGCTCTAAAGTCTTCCTTTGCCTTCTCTCTCTTTCTCTTTAAAGAAATACATTTCTTTCCCAGTAAAATGAAGGAGAATGGTTAACAAAAAAATGACAAAGATATTTTTAGCCTGGAACTAGATGTCATGTTAACAAGTTGCAAGTTTATTTCTCTATGAGCAGCAACTAAACAAGGTGGAAATTTGCCCTGGGAGGCCTTCATGTCATACATTTTACATTATTAAACATTAAAGGGGAGGGGAAAGAAGAGGAGGAGATTCAGAGCTGATGTCAATCTCACCTGTGCTTTAACAGGAGTCCTCCATTGTATCGTTACCCAAAGTGTCACATTGAAATAAGACAGAAAATAATGCAACTCTCCCCTTCTTCCCCAGGCAAAATAACAATTATTGTAACTCTTACTATACAATCCATCTCAGTTTGACAGCAACCTTGTCAGAGAATAGTAAAAATAAGAAAACTAAACTACTACAAGAAGGAAAAATGCCATCTTTTTCCCTGTTTCTTGTTTCCTCACCCCTATCAAATCTCCTTTTCAAATGATTTCCATTTAGTGCTTTTTAGGGAATAACAAATAATGGCTTATTCTTTATTTGGTTAATTTCCACTGGAGGCACATTTTTCAAACGGTATAAGATTTTCCCCATCAATGTAAAGATATTTAAGAACTCTCTAACAAGAGGCTTGACATGACATACTACAGGCCTTTAGTGCATTGTGATGTTCATATAGCATTTTTCAGTACATAAATATTGTAATTTTTCAATGAGTAATGTATACACTTTAAGCAAATGAATTGTTTCAAATGAGAAACATAGAAATGAAAAGATTCTTCATTAACTGAGGAAGTGTAAAGCCAGTAGTACATACGAAATTATAAAGTAATTTATCAATACACATTGAATATCACAAATCTAGTAAGAATTAAGAAAGTATTTGAGAATTCAAGGTCAGGTTAGTGAGTAATTCATCTATCTCTTCAGATGTGTCCTCAAAGTCCTTGCTGGCGTTTCTTCTCTAGAGAACAGAAACACAGAATACTTGGGGTTGCATTGCAGTGGGCTTAGAGATAACAGTGGTATAATTAAAACTATTTAAAAATAACTTTCTTAATAACACAAATAATAAAAGAATCACAGAGCAGCAAAATGAAATTTTCGTAGCATCCACCACAAAAAAGTGGTGGTTGGGGATTGAGAGATAAAAATGAAAAAGCAGGTTGAAAACATATTAATTTCTATTAAATTCCCTTCCTAATTTTCCATAGCTTTTTCCAGCAAATTCTTCATCCTAAATCAAATTCACTTCTATACTCAGAATCCAGGGAAGCTAGAATTGATGCAGGTTTCTGGCAAAGTCCATTTGCTTTTTCACAGAATTAGTAGTGGAAGGGTTAGATAAACAGTGATTGTACTTCTCTTCAATTACTGTGCCAAGATTGTTTCCTCTGTATAGTATATTCTCTTTAGGACCCAGCTTGCAATTTTAGGATCCGATCTATCCTCTAATACAATGTTTCTCAACCTAAGCACTTTTAAGATTTGTGGGTGTCAACTCCCAGAGCTCTGTAGCTAACAGGTTGAGAAATAGTTCTCTAATCCAATAGATAATAAACATTATCTGTCTTTCCTTTTTCTGATTCTGGATACAAGACCCAATTCTTTTGCCTGTTCATTGTGATGATGCACACACAGGTGATGTAATGCTATTTGCATCAGTTTGATGAAAGCAGGAAGCTTCTGTAGACACCCATGCTCTGCGGGCAATTTCTGCCATTGTCTTGATCCATATATGTACTATTGCCTTTTTGAAGATCTGAGAAGGCAAGGGATAAAACTCAGGTGAATTCTCTTACTGATTTTCTTCTCACTGTGTCCTATATCCATTTTTGTTGTCATGTCAATTGAAACCAAAGGTTCAAGAAACAGGAGAATTCAGAAAACTCACCGTTCTAAAATAAGCATTGGCATTATGTTTAAACTTACTAGTTTTATTGCCTAGAATGACTAGAAGGGAAAAAATGATCTGTCTGATTCTTTTATAGTACTCTGGATGGGGCCTTTGAGGTAAACCAGATAGGTCAGCCCTTTGAGGTAAACCTTTGAGGTAAACCTTTGAGGTAAACCAGACTAGAAACCAAAGTTATGAATGATAATACTAATTTTATTATAAGGTTACCATAGCATAATTTTTCCAGTCTGAGTGTGCCTCTTCATCTTTAAGGAAACTATGGGAGAATAAAGCCTAAGATCTCCCTCAAATTATACTTTTGCCTCAGATCCAAATTTTGCTTATCTAACCATTGTCGTGGTTGCAGCTCTTTCTCCGGTTCCTCAAGGTTATTCCTGCAGCCTAATCACTGTGGAACATCCAGGGAAATTGCCAAATTTTTCCCTCTTCCTGAAAAAGACCCTTCTCATACCCAACTGTGCATCATACATATTATATTAGCCTGCCATTCTCATAGTATATGGGAAATCATTATTATAACCCAACTGCTTACTTTAGACATGTTGACTAGAACTGAAGTCATCCTACAACGCATTTCATCTATATAAAACAATTCTTTTTTTTTCTCAGCATCTAAGAAACAATTACACTTTGAAATAATTCACCTTCACATGTATAAAAGAATAACAGTAGACAAGGACAGACTGGTCCCATAATTGTTTGAAGCATAAACCATCTTACTTGTGAAATCGTGGATTGTGAAATTTGGCTTTGTAGTAACTTCAGGAGATAGTCGAAAAGAAAATTTTTGCCCAGGAGGAGACAAATCCTTATCTGCCGCACCAATAACCTGAATTACCTAAACCCACAATGGGATTAAAAAAAAAATGTATGAAAATAAAACAATTTGATAGTTAGATAACACAATAGAAGTAGAGAGTGAGATATTAACCCTAAGCTGAAATGTGGTTATTTTAATGAATAAGACCAGCCAATGTAGCCTAACATAATAATATTTATTTAGCAGATGTGCATGCTGTCCATCTCAAAGAACATTACTCTACAACATGATCCATCTCTAGCAATAGGTTGCAAGTGACTATTCCCTAGTACTAAGGAGAAATTTCCTGACAATTAGAACAATTAATCAGTTGAATGACTTCCTCCAGAAGTNTGATGATATAAGAAAGCTTGATTGAAAAAAATACAGTCTCTAAAAGTTATGCAACCATTTGAAAGTTAGACTTTATCTGGAGTTCAAACCTCTCTAATAATATTTATTATAGGTTTGTCTTTTCTTTTTCTCCTTCATTATTACATTTTTTTATTGTGGCCTTTCTTCAAATAGCTCAAGGCAGTATCACTTATTCTTGTCTAACCCAGAAAAATTGAGCCAAAAACAATCAGGAAAACTTCAAAAGATGGCCATGTTCCAAGAACTCTGTTGTAAAGCACTACACAACAACTAGCACAAAGCAGTGTGTGCCTAATGAGGTCAAAGCATCCCAATCCCAATCACACTGTCCCCAGAGAGCTCTCAAACATTACAAGTCTTTTCAGGTCTCTGCAGTAGAAGAGTGGAAATTACACTTGTATAATTGGGTTTAATTTGAAGCAATTAAAATTGTTTCAGCTACAGGTTACAGCAATCTATTCACCTGTACTTTTCACCTCTCATTATAACAGTGAAAAAAAAAATTCCCCATGTTTCTGCACCTTTCTATTTTTACTATTCAGAAGGGATTTACATAACATATGACTATACCTCAGTTATTAAATTAAGCTGAAACAACGAGGCTTAATATACGCACAAAGATAGAAAAAAAAATACTGAAATATTCACAATGGAGGAATGGATCCTGAAGGTGGCAGAACTTGACAAAATGGCAGGGTTGACCTGTCTGATCAAGGATACAACAGCAAATACTTTTATAGAACCCTTTCTGAAAGGGGAACAAATGAATTGCCGTTTCATGGATTTACTGATTAAAATAGGCTGAATATGGGAAGAGGAGAACCAAGTTGTAACGTTAAAGTGGGAGGAGAGGCAATGAATTTGTAATTGCTGTAAAGAAGTTTGGAAGTTGTTTTTTCTTGTATATCCTTTTTCTGCCTTCAATGTCCTTCTCCTTTTTCTTTTATTTTTTCTTTCTAATTCTATATAATTTCATCTTTTATCTTTTACTTAAGTGAAAAGTTTTAATAACACAGACACACAAATACAGACAGAGATAAAGACAGACAGACAGATGGACACACACACATTGTCCTGTCCACCTCTAAAAAGCACCCTCTACAGGAGGCGGCAGGAGAACGACGTGCCTCACCTACGTCAGGAATTTTTCGGCTTTTAACCCTTGCTTAACTCTGCTCGAGTGATCATAAGACGCCTAAAGTCAGACTAGATGAGACACGTTGTTCTCCTGCCGCCTCCTGTAGAGGGCGCTTTTTAAGAGGCCTTTTTAAACAGTTAAGCATTAAGCAGAGTCATCCACGGTGACTCTGGCATCAGCTAGCTCAGCCTGACCTCAGCTCTTGCCTTTTTCCTTTTACATTTTCTTTTCTTTTCATGATGACAGTGGTGAGGCTCTGCCTCCCCTGCCTCCCCTGACTGCGCGTCCCTGGTAGAATAGAAGAGAAGCAGAAGGCACATATACCTCAGTTAGGTGTTTGGAAGAGGCAAATACTAAATGTTTAACTATAAATGAAGACATATTTATCAACTCCTCATGTAATCACAATCTTCCTTTATGCCCGCAACTCCTATATTTGCCACACTTTAATACATGGAATTTAGTTATCGGGGACTTTCCGACCCAGAGATTATAGTCTTTTGCTTATTATAATTGTGGATAGTCTAAAAAGGAGAACACTGATTGCCAATTTTAACGCAGTGGTTCATTCCAAATTCCTCTGTAGGAAATAACTACATAATGAAGCCCCCCCCCCTCCATAACCAGCAATTTTGTTACCACTTTCTTGATTTGGAACCAGGGAATTTACTTCTAGTACATATGTCTATTATCCATTCTCTGGGAGTGTTAAGGATGGCAGGATTTATTTATTTTTTTGCTGAAGTATTCATCTGTGTAGCCTTTTTTGATTCATCTTGTCAGGTATCTGAATCAGTTCATGATTTTTTTTAAGGCTGCAGAAAAAAAATACATTTTTCTATGAATGTGCAGTTATCCCAAGTTGACATTTTTTTTGCAACTTTTCCCTATATACTTATTGTTTGGTATAAAATTTTGAATCATGTTGTTCACCTATTTTACAACAAAGGCTTGAACGATCTAAGTTTAACCCAGCAAATAGTACACAATCTGTCCATTATTTTGTACTAGTGTGTCAGACAAGGATAACCTCAAGAACACGATTAAAACCAATAAGATCATCTAATGATATCAAGTTCTGTTAAACCAAGAGTTAAAAAAAAATAAGTAACACTCATATTATGATTCATGCTATTCTTATGCAGATATTTCTAGGATTTAATTCATATTTCTGAAAAGGGAAGCCATGACTGAAACCTGTTTAGGGATATTGTGTTCCTTATATTATTTCATTGTTTCTTACGACCAGAACTATTAATGAGCATCAGAATAATAAACAGGGAGAAATGAAGACGGTGTTCTTGTTTTTTCCTGTTGTAGAAAACAAATGTGAAATACATTATTTTATATGTACAATTTCACCAACTTACTCGATTGATAAAAAAAAAAAAAAAAAACGAAGAACAAAAATATAGCCAGCATATAACTTGAGATGGTTAAATCAGTGTTTCTCAACCTTGGCAACTTGAAGATGTCCGGACATCTTCAAGTTGCCAAGGTTGAGAAACACTGGGTTAAATAATCCCCTCTATCAAATGCCACAGAACAGCTTTCCTCTAAATAACAGGAACCTTATACAATAAGCGCACCAACTAATTAGGCAACAGATATGTCTATGCGTACTTCTGTATCTCATTTTTTTTAATTCTTGGGGGGAAAAAAAGAATAACATTTGATAAACATTTTAAATATCCATTATTTCAGTTTTAAGACTGGATCTTACAACTTGAATTGGAATACTTGCTTTTTCAAAAACAAAAAAATTCTCTCTGAAATGTAAGCATAAGAAAGACGTCGTCCTATCAGACAGTTCGTTTTCTTGTTGTTGTTTTTTTTTAAAAAAAAACATGAAATAAAACCACCCCTCCCAAAACAAATCTGACATTTTCCTCAACAAGTTTCGGCCACTGACAGATTCTACTCTCTGTCCTACGCTGTATGTTTTAAAAGAATCAGAAGTCAGCAGATGTCTTTTTGTGTCTCCGGATAAAAGTTAATGTCCTTTCTTTTATCCTGTTTTTTTTCCCTTAATTCTGTTGCTGTGGTTATTTCCACTTTACTGGTAAGAGTTTCAATAGGCACTTCAGTGGAATTAAGAAAAAAATCTACCACCAGAATGCCGGAAAGCTATACTTTCTGTTTGTTGTTATCGATAAATTGTAGCTAATAGGCCCAAGACAGTCTCTGTGTGACTTCAAAGTAATAAAGTTAAAAATAAAATAAAATAAAAACCCACCCACCACCATCAAAGCGACAGCAACGAAAACGATAGTCAAACAACATTCTTCCCCTGAAAAATAGTAAACCAATATCCATGGTATCATAAATAAAGGAACTTGCTGGGAACAGCTGTTGTCTCTTATAATCAATGGAACTTGTTCTATAAAGCTTGTTTTTTGTGTGTGTAAAACTAGTGGGTTTCCTTTTCCTTCATGTCCTCCTCCGCCTCCAGCTAAGTGACTTTATCTGGATTATAGCTTTCTTCTTCTCCAAACATTTCTGCTAACACTTTGAAGCGTGGTCCCCAGTCACTCAAATAGTCATAGTCCTGATCTGCTTCTGTTGCAACAGAATCTATAGAGCTGAGAGATTCAGCTACAGATCCATTCCCTTCATAAGCATAAGTTGCTAGTGAATCATAAGGGGGAGCTGATGGATCGCCATCGTTCTCCCTTAGCCTTTGATTTATGAAATCTCTAATATTTGTGTTGTCCTCAGTGGGTGGTTTTGATCGAGGCAAGCGGAGAGCATCTGGCTTGATATCCCTGCGCATTTTGTTATCCTCGATTCCTTTGGGATTCCTTAAAGCCCCAATGTCGAAGGCTTGAGTGTCTTCTTCACCCCCTCCTTCATCATCATAATGAATGACGTTGTCTCGGACATCCTCCTTGGAGGTCATTAAGGTGTCTTTTTTCTTCTGCCGTCTCAAGGCCACATAGAGAACCACAATAACTAAGACAAGAGGGGAAAAAAACAGAAGTCGATTAGGGAAAGGAGTGACTTTTGTCAGTCAACTTCATATCATCTTATAGAGCTGAAGTGGCGCAGTGGTTAGGGTGCAGTACTGCAGCCACTTCAGCTGACTGCTAGTTCTGCAGCTCAGCGGTTCTAATCTCACTGGCTCAGGGTTGACTCAGCCTTCCATCCTTCCNGGGAAAAGGGCGGCATATAAGTGCAATAAATTCAATTCAATTCAATTCTTCATATGCAGCTCATATATTCCGAAGGCAATTCAGTTACACATCAGTTTTAAAATGGATACCCGGAATATATAACTATAATGTTTATATGATATTACTTTAGTTTTTAAAGAGATTGTAGCAATCCCAATGACATGATCAAACTCAGAGAACATCAAACTAAGCAAGAAAATAATACACAAATATTCTGTTGAACACTGAGAAGTGGTGTGTGTGAGGCAACCTGGTTGCATTTCAACCAGGATTATTTTGAGTTTGTGGTACCATGGTACTCAACTCCTCTGAAATTCATCAAATTTGAAACTCAATGCATTTTGATATGAAAATTTTGTCCCAGTACTCATCGTTCTGGGTACTTGACACACAAGCTAGAACTTCTTGGTGTTGCCCTTCGACTCAATACATTATTACTCATGGGAAAAAATTGGTTGCTACTCCTCATTTTTGGTACTCATCGGGCTTCCCAGAACCAAATAATGATGAGTACTGAATTAGCACTATAAATAGTATATTCAGAAGCATGAGGTCTTCCATGAATGAAATAAATCCATCCCAGCTCCCAGCAGGTCTGTGGTTCTGGTCTTCAGGAAGTGATACATATTAATAATGTGGGTGCATCCTACTTTCACCCAAGTCAGCTTTAGAAATGAAATAAAAATGTTGTAGAAGTTTAAATCAGAGTCTGGAGGCTATTAAGGTTTTGATGGAGAAAAAACAAACTTAGATGGGTTGGATGGAGTCTGTATATGTCTACAAACATCAGGGGTGAACACCTGTTTTAGATTTTACTACAATGGCATTGTCTGGCTACAAGTTCAATGTCCCCAGGTGCTTGTACAGGGGTTACAATTAGGTGTAATATGATTTTAAGGTAGAATGAACTCTGTCAGGGAGGCAGAACATATTTTGGGTTGACTACTACAATACACTGCACTGCAATGAGTAAATTGGATCAGGTCAAAAATGAAATGAAACTTTATATACACATATTTAATTAATTTGATTTAAATAAATTCATATGCATCCTTATTTAATAATTTTCCTAGTTTTCTCATTATGCAAGGGCATGCAACTTTGATTTATATAAATCTTGTAAAAAAGAATTTAGAATATATCTNATAAAAGGGACACATCCCATACAAGAAGTTTCCAGAAACAGATCTTTAAAAATAATGTATGGTATATACAGAGGAGAGTATCTTGTGTCCTTTGAGCAACAGTTTTGTACAAGAAAAAACTATTAGAGCTTATGGGATTTGGAACCTTACATTTGATTCCACATAGCTTGTAAAACAGGACTGAATTATGGACTATAACAGGCCAAAATGTGTTGTCTTTATCAACCTGAGTATATTTCAGCCTATCATTTTTTTTCCTAAGCTGACAAGGCAACTATAGTTTTTATAGGTTTGGTTCTAAGGTAAACAGCTTATACTCACACAAACTCGGTTCAGGAGTTGTCTAAAGACTTATTGTATAGTAGCTGAATATGTCTTTTGAAGGCCACTGTTAATTTGCTGAACAATGAATGAATTTTCCATTATAGTTCAAAAAGTAACCTGATATGACTTGGAAGAACTTTGATCCCCATGCAAAAAATGTAATTTATATTATTGTGCAAAGGTAATTGACACAACCTATTTATTTTTCTAATGTATTCTTTGATGGGCTATCATACATGATAGAAAGTATCTTTGACTTGGTAGGTCAAACTTGTATGCAGTGCACACCTGATGAAAAATATAAATCATGACCTGAATGATTGAGAATCTACACAGACATCTAGAACTTTCAGATTGTCTGTATTTATCACTCATTGCATTTTTTTTTGGTCTGTTGTGGGACCTGGGGTATCTTTTAAGAGAGTGTCAGTCCTTCTTTGTTGAATTTTGAGGTTTTATTACATTAAACTACAACCTGAAATTCTTGGGTTGACTTTCATCACTTATAATATTCAGTTCTAATTCACCTTTTCTGCGAGAGCCCGTTGTCTACAAAAGTCTGTATGTAATAATGGATTAGTTCTGAATAAATAATTAGAGGCTCCAAAGTCAAATAAAATTAATTTCATCTGGAGTTAAGCCAGCTGGTGATCTTAGACATACAGTAGCCTAACCTGGTTCAGATTTTACTGTTTCTGAATGATAAAGATGGGAATGCTCTTTGACAAAATATTACTTTTACACCACTAATTGTCTACTATAACCACAGCTAGTTAGGGATTTAAACCTCTTGGCAAGAGATACTGTATATATTCACAGATCTGCTGGGTCTTAAATACTTTAACATTTCTATATAGATTTCTCAGCTACTGCATATCATAGTGGTTAGAATGACACTGGCATGTGGTTTATAGACATCAGTTTTGAAATATTTATATTTGTTTCTGAACTCAATGTAAAATCCTATTATTTTATTCACAAGGCCTCAAATATTATTCAGCCAGGATATCTGAATTTTTTTCTTTTTTTCTCTAGACTGCCCATAATTTGCAGTCTTCATTCATGGATATTATCTTTAGCCATCTCCATTAAGAAAACCTAATTAGCTATATACACAAAAGACAACTTATTCTGCACTAGCTTCTGGATTATGGATTTCCCTGCTAGGAGCATGAGGAACTGAACATAAAACTAAGTCAAAATAAAAAAATGAAGCATTGTTTCACTGGCCTTCAATGGATTTTTGCATTGCTTTTGCTGCTCCCAGTTCTACTGGGAAATTATTATGGGAACCTAGATACAATAATTACACAACTACCCTCCACTGTCAGTATGCAATATAGGATTTAATTAAACTAATCTGTTTTTTAGAGTTGTGGCAAATCAATATTAGGCACCTATTTTAGATTGGTGGGCGAATCTTAAGAGCACATTCTAAATTTTCACATGAAATGGCATAATATCTTTTGCACATGGACAAACTATCCATTTGCCAAGAGAAACTAGTCAGACAATATACAAATTCATTTCTTATCACTGGACAATGCACTTCCAAACAAATTACTGGCTGTAAGAATCAATGATTAATAAGCATATAAATAAAACAGTAAATTATAGAATTTCAAGTAGGCTTTTTAAAATCAGTCTCTATAGTTTGCTAACCATTATACTGTGTATTATTATATCCACATAATAGACTAGACTGCACATCTAATATTAAAAAAAAGAATAATATACCTGTCCCGGCCGTGCGTTTTCACACACATAAGATTCATAGGGTACTGTAATTTCTGGAGCAAATTCATTGACATCCAAGACATTTATGATGACATTAACTTTGCTGGTCAAGAGTGGATTGCCTATTAGGAAAATAATTTTACAACGGTCCATGAAATATTGGTATTGTTCTAGGCAATATTACATTGCACACAGCAATGAAAAATGGAAATGCTCATCCTTTTTTTTTTTTTGATATGTCCTTTTAGACTGATTTGGAAACTCTCTCATATGAAATGGACTGTGCCTGGTAATGATATAATGGCTGCACAGAAAACTTAGCTATATAATTTGTCATATTTATTAGGAAGCACTTATCGTGTTTTTGTTCTGCAGGAACTGAGTAAATATTTACAGTGTAAAATTCATGCAGGGATTGTATTCTTCCTTGTATAGAGTACAATAAATAACCGAGGAACTAGGATTAAGCAAGCATATACATACAGCACCTAAAAAAACTATCATCACATTTTGTAGATAATGTACCTATGCATGGTAAACAATTTTCCATAAAGAGAATGCTCTTTGCCCCCCTCCTCGAATGGTATGGTTGTTGTGTGCTTTTAAATTGTGTATTGTTTGTTCGTCTTTTTATCCCTTATCTGTATCCCCTTCCCTGACTTGGATTGTGAGCTACCCTGAGCCCCCTTCAGGGAAAAGGGCGG